GGGAGCCACTCTTTTTAGACCCAGAACTTTACTTGCCTGTAGCGATTAGCGTTGTTACTGACAGATCGACATCTTCTGCTAAGGACACATTGACTCATCTGTGTCCAAAATCCAAACCAATTTTAAATTTCCTTTTTAAATCCTGTTGCTCACTCATCAGTATATGGAAAGAAATTTGCTGACAGAGTTTACTGCTCTGAAATCACTCAATGTGTTGATCAACTATCAAGCTGGAGCTGAACCCCTAGAAGTTAACCCTGTTAAAAACAAGTTTTAGGCCTTAATCCCATCAGAAATTATGCACAGGGATAGCTTTATCTAGGTGAGTAGTTCTGTCAAAAGCTCTGCTCCAGATGTACAGTTATGTTTGTAATTATTTGCAGTATCAAGTATTCAAAGACCAGCTAGTCTTATCTACCTCCCACTAGTGGAAACTGTATCTAAACATGACAAAAGTAAATATTTTTTCCATGTCTTTCACCTATCCAAGCAGCAGCTACTCAGGTCCTCAACTGTCTTGTTAAAACAATTATTTTAAAATGACTGCAATCGCCTCCAGTAGAAATGCTAAAGGAATGTCAGAGACCTTGTACAACGCCATGTATCTTTGAATTAATATATATTTTTTTTTCAAAAGAAAGTATTTTCCCAGGCATGGCTAGTCGTTCACCTAAATCTACAAGTATCCTCTAGTGACAGAAGTTCAAAACTAATATAGAAAAGTGGAGAGGGAGGGCTTCTCAGGCTTTTCTCAATGTGAAAGGACTCGTGAGTCTGAATGACTTTTATGTGTGGTTTTAGAAGATTCTCTCTTGTTGTTTCTGTTTGTTTCATCATGCTGCCTGAGTATTAATGTCCATCTCTTTACACTGTACTCATGAAGTTGCTGTTCTAATACCAGATAATTGTGCAGAATGTTCATTCTGAAGGAGTTTCCCTTGGGTTAAACACATTCAAAAATAATGAGAAGAAATAACTGGAGAAAAATTCCAAAAAAGCTTTTGAAAGATTAGTCGAACCAGAACTTCAGTTTTCTTTAGATGTTGATGCAGAACTTCACTATAGTTGATTTTCTTTTCAAGCTGGACTTGCCTACACTTCCAGTGTCATATCAGGTCCAAACAGGGACTTTATCCACAGAAAAATTACATATTCAGTGAGAGTTTTCCATGTATTGGGCTTGCCAGTTGGGCTTTTAAGAAAAGCCATTACGTTTTCACGACTCATAAGCTGACAATGGTAGGAAACATGCCCGATTTTGTTTTGCAGTTAGTGTAATGATGTTGTCCTGCAACAAACCTTAACATAACTAGGAATTTTGATTTGACGCCAAAATGAGCAATATTGCTGGTGACCTTCGAGCTGGCAGTAAAGTGGCATTCTCAAGGCCTTAAATTAGTAGGGCGAGCAGAATAGCAAATCCATTCTTCTGTTACAAACCGCAGTATGGTTGGCTCTACAGTTAAATTACCCCTCAAGACGAAGAAAGATGGGTGATCTTGGTCGTAGCCACAGACACCACGGGGAAACAATCAAATGGAATAATTTTGGCTAGTTCTTTCTGGTTTTGTTAGCAAGGCAAAAATACTCTTCATGCCAATTCATACCAATTTTAGGGCCATTTTCTGATCAGCAGGGTATCAGGTAATTGCAGTGAGTACAAAGGAATACTTCTGGACCTACCTAAGTGCAACACAGATGAGTATTACCATCAGCAAACTGAACTCTCCGCTGTGTTTTACTGGTATTACTATGGCATATATGAAGGTGACTACTAAAATGAATGGAAATTTTTCAGGTATCTGTTCTGGAAGCAGGATTTGTGCTAGCAGAATTTGGTCCACCAGCCCTTTTAGAATACCACACACAGTAGTATCGCGTCTGAAGTGGCAGAGGGCATGCCACACACAGTGACCATGCTGAGACCTGGTGCTGACCAAGTCTTACTGTGGTAGAAATGGAGGTTTGTGCTTACTACTGACAGTGTTGTTTAAACGACTAAGACAATTGGATAGTTTCTTCAAGTGAAGCAAATTCTTTCTCAATTTGCCTTAAAGGAACTGTGAAAGCTTCTCTTTAACTTAAGCCTGGTTGAACTGAAACACTGTTTAATTGTATTTGTTGCTTTAGAGCTTTTGTTATATTGTGCCTACAAAGCAAATTATGTTTACATAAAAATATAAATAAAATATTGAGCATAGCATTATACTTGGCTTATGTGTTTTACTCTAATGTTGTGGTCATATTAGCATTAGGGAACTGACTTGGTTAAGAGGAAAATTTGAGGTCTTATTTCCATTTTGGTCACTGAGGGATATACAAAGAATTATTATTTTTTTTATTACAGAGTACATGGAGCTTATTAAAATGGCTGAGTGTGCTACTTTACAGAACATTAACAATTTAGAGATAAAATGTTGAATGTTACAGTCTAAAAAATACAAAACACTGTATAAGCACCATTCATGAAGTGTCCAGGGAAGTGTATTTTGATACAGATAGAAACTAGTTTCCAGAATTTTAGCACTCAGATTGCACTAGGAGATGGATTGACAGAAAAGTTGTCCTCAGAGAGACAGTTCCTTTCAGAAATGAAGAATAATCTTAAAACAGGATCCAAAATAGCCACTACCGAATTAGTTAATAGAAAACACAAGGACATGATTGAATCTAAAATCCCACTCTCCCCAGGACTCAGTCTTAACTCAGGGCTGCCCGGAGGCTTACATCTTTTCTTTCAAAGAACTGATTACAGTTACCAAACCTTCTAGGTCATCTCAAGCCGGTACTTGAGTATATGGCTTTAAAGGTGTCCCCGGATAAAAGGAAGAAATGATTCCGTAAACTTCAGTTTAATACCTAAACAAAGAGGAAATGTTAGCTTTGGTTCATTCCAGTCATGCAGGACATATTCTAAAGCCTGTAATGTCCCTGGAAAACCTCACTGCAGTAGTTACTGCATCTGCTCTATAATCTAAAAGTTCAGATGAACACCTGCTGATTGTGAAGAGAAGCAGAGTAAATTTCTGCCCTCTGTTTTCAAGGCTTAATAAGCAAATAATGATCAGAGCATCCCTAATCACAGGGTCAGGAGAAGGCTGGAAGCAAACAGCCATAGCCTTTTGCAAACTCTCTGTGATTACTAATAAAGCTCTGCCTTTTACCAGCTCTCCCACTGGGCCATCTCTACTCGACTGTCATACAATCTAACATGCAGAGGCTGCTACCAGGCAGGCAGGGATGCTGCAGGCTGCCTTTGTGTGGCACCTGGCCAGGTAAAGCGCAAAAATCATCCTCGGGTACTGAGTGTCCCTGGATCTCACCTCATCCCACTCCATTTTGTGCTTCCCCTCTCACTTTGTCTGAGCTTAGTCGTTAATGCTAGTTGTTTTTTCTCAGAAAAGATTCTTCTAGTATGGCCATGATTGCCAGCACACAACACACTGACAGCCTCCAGCTCCCAAAGAACCATGCAGGAATTTCTCCCTGTGGCAGCACCTAAGTCCCTTGGTGTGAGCTAGTGTTTTGTTTCACCACAGAAAGCACCAAAACACTATAATTGCTATCTGCATCAAGGCACTGTTTTTCCAAGTAATTTGTAGCGTTTAGGCAAACATCCTAACAGTTCTCCTTTGAAAGAACAGGTTAGAGTATAAAGGCAAATGTAGCTTTATCTCCTCGGTCTGAGCTGCCGTGCTAATGGATCGTGCTCAGTCGCTCCGAAGGCATTCCTTTTCCAGGTGTTTACCTGCCCTGTCTGTGTCAACTGCCTCTGCAGCAAACAGCAGGGTTTCTGAACGTTGCCTTCATCCCCGCTGCTTGTGCCAATGCTGTGTTGGGTACCGCACCACCAGTATGCTGCACAGAAACTAGAAGGTGGTGTGAGAACAGTGCAGATGATGAGGAGTTAGGGGATGAATGTGTGAAAAGAAATGAATCATGTATGTCTCTGCCCAAGAGTAACAAATGAGTAGAATTTGCAGCGTGTTATGTGTTGATTTATTTGTATTCTTGAAAGGGAGGCTGTGGGGTGGTTTTTTACAGCTGTGAGGTTTAGTCACTGCCCAGACTGTTGCACTCCTGTGCCTCTAAGGCTTTCTGGTCTTGCTCTGCTTTTTACCACATCCCTGGAAACCTGACTCACCTCAGGGAAAGCGTTGAGTGCTCAGAGTTCTGTTTGGCTCCTGCCTGCGTAAGAAGCCATGCGTGTTTACCGGGCTGCGGAACAGCCCATCAGCGCAGACTGGGAGGTAAATGGGGCAGCTGCACCATTGCTTCCGACCCCAGTCAGCCGGGCCTGTGCAGAGCCAAGAAAGGGAACGTTCAAAAGATGCTGGTTTTTACTGTATGGAGGGCTGCCTGACACGGCTGTTGCTGCAGGCAGTATCCTCCCTGGAGCTACTTTGACAGCCCCACCTCTCACCAAGTTTGACGTGGAGGTCCCAGCCTTTCTCTGCAGGCTTTCTGGACCCCCTGCAATACTTTATAATCATTGTTGTTCTCTGGTAGCACTTCAGGAAAATTAATTTTTTACCTCCTGAAGAATACTGCGTCATGTCCACTTTCATCCACCACAGAGAGTGACAGACAAACTCCTAGTGGACTTAACACAGGTAGATTAACCCTTCACATATGAGAACCTTTCTTCTCTTCTGCAGGCATTTTGGGCAAGATGAGAAAAAAAGTCTGGGAGCAAGCATCATCAGCCTTCATAGTGTTTGGCCAGTCTCTTAAAAACC